CAAACAGCTCGACAGCTTGTTCATTCCTCCGTCCACTTGTGTTGTAGCATATGCAGCCTGTAGTGCTATGTTTGTGTGACCATCTGAGGTCTGGTGACTACTTTAAGAATCGTTTAGTGCTTGTAGGCCCAGCCCCTTTGTTCCTTCTAGACCGCATGCACTCAGCTCCACTTTATGTTTGCTGTGGGAAGTCTCGAAAATGCAACACAACGCCTCGAGACATCCTTACAGACCGATAAGGCAATGCAGGCGATTTGATTGCACAAAAGCAAGCCAAAGGAGAGTACAGGTGAACTTTTTTCTCAGCAGAGGCAACATAGCCCCACCCTTGACTGAAAGCTAAACCGAAAGTTAAGCAAAATATTGCGTTGAACTTCTGCTCACTAGCATAATATGTCCACCGTGCTTCCAAAGATCTCTTCCTCACCTAACGGAGAGCCATCGAAAACTACCGGACGACATTTTCATGACACAAATACAGCACCGCGTAATCGCACAACATTTTCGCTGTAGCATGGAGAAATAAACTTAAAACTTATAACAAACTCCAGAAAGAATGTATTTGTTGTGCAACACCAACACGTGTTTAAGTGCATTTTTCACAACATTTCGAATCTCCGAAAGGCAAGGCGCTAGGACTGTTTGCTGCGATTTGGCACGAAAGTGATGAGTGCGATTATTTTGACAAATTCGAATTGAGACTGCACCCAACTTGAAGCATGCGTGGAAGGTGCAACCAATTCGAGCTACTCGGGCGACTGATTTTGTGGCTTAAAGAGTGGTGACCTCATCGGCGTCTCTGAATGCTGCTTAACCTCACTTCCAAGCTTGCGATTTTACGATTGAGCTTCATTTGGGGCACCTGGCGGTGGAGACATTCGCAAGGAATGACAACTTCATGCACAAGTAAATTACGTTCAAAGCAAACAGATTACTAGGGGTGAGGTTGCATTAGAATTGAAGTGCTTGTCCACAGTTTGGTCTGAAGTGAAACAGAGGCCGGCAAGTATTTGGTGCAAATTCGACCCAAATGAAAAGGAACTACCACAGGCTAACACTTGAGGCACACAGTCAATAAGCTGCCCTGAGTTCTCTGTGAGCGCACCCCCACCTCGGTAAACATTTCTATTAGCTTTGTTTCACCAAAGTGCTTAAATCCCCTTACTTCCACTCAACCTTTGAATCCAAGTAAAGAAAGCTCGACGTGATGGTATAAAAGGGCGAGTAAATGCCTGCGGAGAAGCACAAACCACTCTTTAGTAGATGATGAAGAATTCAGCCATTGCAGCAGTGTTGTTGGTCTTTACCATAGCACAGTCGCAGGCATTCTACACCCTGCTCGACAGTGAACTTCTTCCCGAACGAGAGCGCCGTCCAGTTGATCCAGCAGAAAGAGCAGCCGAAGAACCGATAGAGGCGGAGGCTGGAGCGGAGCAGCAGGAGCGTGAATTGGCAGAGCCCATTGAAGTTACACAACGTGACATCACCCTGCTGAGACGCGATTTAATAATTTCTCTTGAGCGTCTTCGTCGTACGCTGGAGCGTCAGTTGCCTGTCATGCCTTTGCAGCGTTACCCGGGCGAATTTAGTTTGCGCCACCCGTACCACCCCATCCGCGAACAGTAGATACGCCTTTTTCACCTCATATGTTCATGTGTGTGTGTTTGCGCATGTGATCACCTCTACTTCAGTAATAATTACGTTTCTGTTAGTAAATTGTGACTTAACTTTGGGGCGAAGAGGGTGGGACGAAAAATTTGAGTTGGTGCGCATTGCTATAATGGCGGAGGTGCACACGAAATCAAAACACGCACGCATTTGCGGAAAAAAAGGGAATCAGCGTTAACATATTATTGTCCCCAGTAATGGCATTATTCCGATCGAAGATGTAAAGCAAATTCTTTTCGGTTTGTGCTTTGTTTAAAAGCTTGTAATTTAATTTTACAAT